AAAAAAATAAATAAATAAAATAAAATAAAAATACTGACTCCAAGCTTTTGAATGGTATATGTATATGGTTACAAAAGCTTTTTATTTAATATGAATGCTGATCTTTGGATCTTTCTATTGGATCTTTCTTACATTTCAAAAAATTTTGACTGGTATGTAGCCTATATCACACTCATATCACATCTTGTTTTGGATAAGAATAAAACGTCAGGTCCGACAATATCGTATCTTTTTTTATTTAAATCTAGATTTATTCCAGTTGGCCCATGGAAACCTCTATGAACACACTTGACTTGACTAAAAAAGCGCGGGGGACGAATTTACCAATCAAGCACTTTACCGATTCAACTACTCTCCTCTCCTCCTCTGGCTCTTTGGCCAGCATCACTCACCGCAGAGCAAGCCTATTCTTGATAAATCTCCTGTGAAAACGTGGGAAAAGCCGACGAGGAAGAAGTTGGGGTGGAGTTTCACTCTCCGCCAAGCGATCTGTGCTGTTTTTCAGTTCATCTGAATGGATGTGCAACGCACAACGTACCGTAAACTCTAGTGTGAAGGCACACGACTCGCCGTCGCTTTGTTTCACACACATGCAGCGAGAGAGGTAGAGAGAGAATTGACGTGCTACCTATGCACGCTACATGTAAACGATATTCTTTGTTGTATTTTGCTGTCAAAATAAAAGTTCCCCAAAATAAAATAAAACCAAAATAAAAGCAAAGTTCCTTTGGAATTCTTCCGCTTTTAAGAACTACCGCTTTCTCCGGTAGTGGGCGGAACTAATGCGCAAACGGCAATCTCATTGGTATTTATCAGTCTGGCGAGTAAACAAAAACATTTACTAGCCAATGACGATTCAATTGCCAAGGTGTACGTAGAGGGCTGTGTATATAATTTTAATGCTATAGCCTTTGTGTATATATTTAAAGATGTGCATCTTTAAGCATGACAGTTGAAATTAAGTGGCAACACTTTAAAATAAGAGTCCATTTGTAGCATTAAGATTAATGAAAGCTGTGTAAGTATTGTTCCTTGTTAGAGGGTGTTAATTTCAACATTTACTATTACTATTATTATTATTTTTACTACTACTACTACTAGTATGGTTCAGTACTGTTTTTGTTAATAAAGCACTATTTTAGTTTTTGTTCAGTATCAATTTTAAAACAATCGGTTAATTAATCGGTATCGGCCAGTGTGGTCCAACCTAGCTATCGGTATCGGCAAAATCCACTATCGGTCGACCTCTAGTATATATGTATATATTCAAAAAACTAAATATTGTTGGAGTTCACAGACTCAGGAAAAAATTAAATTAATCTGTTTGGTGGTGGCATGTGGGGTTCTGTCTTCTGCTATATTTATTTCAAAGTTTGTCAAAGTTTCTATAAAATATCTGGGATTAAAATTGATGATCAGCCCAACACGTCTTTGTTTTGCAAACCGGTTGAAATTCAGGACACTCAAATCAAGGTGTGTTCTGAGTTCTCGTCCTCAACGCGCCCACATAAAGCATTTGTAACACTTAAAACAAACAGTGATCTATAATCACTGTAATCTGTAAAAGGAGTTGCTGACTGGTCACTTCTGGTACTGCAGGAACAATTACAAACGACAATTGAGCTGATTGAACATGAAAACAACACCTTAGGTCGCAGAGGAAAGAAAATAGTCAAGAACTTATATAATCAGATTGGTGAACTAAGCATTGATGATAAAAGCTTCTTTTTGTTTATGTTGGTGTAGAGGAGTGAAAAATAAATTGTTCTGCAGAATAGTTCATGAGGATGTTAATCTCGCAGAAATGCTCTTTAGTAGTGGTCTGATTATTTCTGCTTTGTAGGAGACTCTCTGTCCAGTCTTCAGAGGGCCATTGAAATGAAGGAATCGACCAAACAGCAGCTGAGAGAACAGCTGGACGCTGTGGAGAAGGAGACACGTTCCAAACTATTGGAGATAGACTCCTTCAACACACAACTGAAGGTACTGAAGCCCTGAAAGACCTAAACACACACACTTACACAAACAGACAGATCATTTTGTCTTCAGTAGTGTTATTTGTTTTAGTTATACTTGGCATTTTTGTACTTTTATGTTTTGCATTGTGTGAGTGTAGGGTACAAAATTAACATTTGTGCAAAATGTAAGTAAAAATTGGCTTTGATGAATAAATAAAATTGAATAACTCACCAGTTTGTTAGAGCTATTACAATACATCATAGAAATGAATTTTCTGTAATTGTGATGCAAGTGATTCAAATAACCTTCTACTGAAAAAAAAAAAAAAAACACATTTTAAATGTCATCTAAATACTTACAGCAAGCAATTTAATATATTTAACTGTTTCGTGGCCAGTAAGAAAAAATGTAGTCACTCACCATTGACAGTTGGGGCAAAATATTCATTTTGGACCCTGTGTGTTGTGCGAATGAAAGAGGAAGTAAGAGAGAGTGCATTTTGAGACATCATTGAGCTTTCACCCAGTGTATTTAATAAAAACAACAGAACACTCTTAATTTTGTTTTAATGTACCTTCAGAATAAGAGAAAGAGAGTGTGTGATAAAGTAGAAGCATTTTCACAGCATCACACAATCTCTTGTTCCTCTCTCACTGTATCTGCCTGCTGCTCACTCTGTCACCCTGCCCTTCATCCTCCTCATCCTCCGTTCATCCTGGCTGACTCCCTCTCAACCCTTCCCTCCACCATGTTTATACGGTTTGGCTGGCCCTCTTTGTTCTGACTTGACCATGCTTCACCCTGCTTTACCCTTCGTGGTGGTACAGTCCTTGGGGCTGTTCTATGAGACCCACACTGCTAGGATGGAGAACCTGCAATCGGAGCTACTTATTGAAGAGCAGAGGGGGCGACAGGTAGACAACCTGATAATGCTGTTAACCCCCAGAAAACTACCACCAAACTATTACCCTCTACTCACAGCACTGTGCTCTCTGTTGCCCTGTATGAGGGGACTTAGAGTAGCACACTTCCAGTTGTTTCTTGTCTTGACTACTTCCCTTTACTAAGGCATCAACAGGGCTCTACAATAAAGATTTTTTTATCTGCTCAGATATTTACTTGCTGTTGTCACATTTTTATTAAGAATGACCAAAATTAAAATACTATGAAACACGTAATAATAATAATTAGTAAATAATAATTAACAAATAAAATAATCAGTTGATTTGGAAAGTTTGTTTTAAACTGATTTAAAATATGGCATAAATGTATTTAGAAATACATGTGTTGTGTTGATTGCTGGGCCAGTGATCCATTGGAAAACCGTTTCCTTCCGTTTTTTTAGGGATTGCAATATAATCACAGTACTACTTACAGTTATTAACACATTGGTATGATAAAGAAACATGTATGAATGGAAAAAAAAAAAGCATGGGGTGTACTTGATATTTAAAAACAGTTAAGCGCATTAAGCCACAAAGTATAACTCAATGCGGTACTTATGCACTGACTGACACATACTCAAAGCACGCACGCATGCAGAAGTCTGTCACATGCTTGACTGGTCAAATACACACAAAGTGATGTCAAAATGTCCGTCATGCAAAGTATTCATGTCAGTTAAGTGAACATAAATAGTTGATTGAAAATCGGACGTGTATCATCACGTGGGTATGTGCATTAGTTCTTAAAGTTGCAGCAGCCTAATATACCTGCTGCTCTCTGTGACATTGCTATTAATGAAACAACAAAAGAAAAATGACACACTGCTCTTGGTGGAATTTAGAAGCTTTAATAAGGGTCATTATGGGACAGAATAATTTCTAGATTTATTTGGAATAGTAAAAAAACCACGGATTAAATTTAAAACTCTACAGTTAGCAAAAGAAAAAGGAGGACGGTCCCTGCCATGCCTTCAAGACTATTATATTGCTGCCCAACTGAGAAATATGTTGCTGTGATTCAACCTATACTGCCAATTGGAAACAACTGGAAATCTTGCAAAGCCCTATTCCAGTTCAAGTCACTTTTAGGTGATAACAATAAATTTAAGGAGATATCTGAAAACATAACGCAGTGGACAAAATGTGGTTTAGAATTAGGGATGCACCGATACCACTTTTTCCCAGTATTGGAAACAATTGGAAATCTTGCAAAGCCCTATTCCAGTTCAGTCACTTTTAGGTGATAACAATAAATTTAAGGAGATATCTGAAAGCATAACTCAGTGGACAAAATGTGGTTTAGAATTATGGTATAAATTGATGAGAAAGTTCAAACTAGAGTATCAGATGAGAATATTAAGTTGGATTGGTTATGATTCTCAGTTCTACCCCGCTCAAATGGATAAAAGGTTTCAAAGCTGGGCACAAAAAGGAATAACTGCTTACTGTTCTATTATATCAAAGGGAGAAATTCAGGCTTTTCAGAATTTAATGATCAAATTTGGTCTGGAGAAACAGGATTTTTATAGGTTTTTACAAGTTAGACACTATTATGGTATGAAAATCAGAAGAGTAACAAATGATTATTCCCCTTTGATAAATGTTCATTAAAGTGTATAAAACAAATACTTGTGAAAAACGATTAATATCTGGTTTATATACCTGCATTCAAGATATTAAAGGGCATTCTACTGAGTATATTAAACAAAAGTGGGAAAAGGAAATGCAGATTTTTATCCCAGCTGAAGAATGGCTGAACTTATGGCATTCACAGTGTGTGACTAGTCATTCCAGGGCTCTAAGGGAATTTTGTTGGAAAAATACAATTTGTTTCTTTATTACGCCCAAAGTGAAAGCAAAACAAAAAGGAATGACAAATCAGGGCTTCTGCTGAAGGCAGTGCGGGTCATTATCGGCTTGTCTTCTGGTCTTGTCAAGTTTTAAATCTGTTTTGGTCAGAAATACATTCTAGCATAGAGGAAATCTTGGAAATTGAGATTGAAAAAACAGCTTATATTCTATTTCTTGGCAATATACCTGATTCAGTTAATAATAGGAATAAATATCTACTCAGGATTCTACTAGCAGCAGCAAAAAAAGCGATTACTCGACTATGGCTCCAGCAGCCTCCCCCAACAAGAACTCAGTGGGAACAAATAGTTACAGAAATTTACAAGATGGAAAGACTGACATTCAGGTTGAGACTGCAAGAAGAGACTTTTAAGAAACACTGGGGAAAATGGACAATCTATATATCAAAACAGAGAGAAGACAGATAAATGCCAAAGTGAAATATGTATATTCATTAATGTAAATGTATGTAATTAGGATCAACGGCTGCTTGATAGTAAGCCTAAGGAAATGAGTATTATGTTTATGAATGTATGACCACAAATATTCACGTATACATGCTTACAAATATTTGCTTATATCATAACCAGTTGACCAGACTGAATTTTTTTTTACTTTTTATGTTATACTTTATGTATGTACCCATGAAGGAGTGTTGTTTGATTGTTATTGTGTTGAAGTTCATAAAAATAAAGTAAAAAAATATAAATCATTATATTCAAAATTATATTAAGTATAAACAAAATTCTGGAAATTTCAAAATCAGTCTTTTGTCAAGTGGAATCCTGGTGGGACTGGAAAACAAGATGTGTGCTAGTTGTCATGATGACAGCAGAATTTAAGTCTCTCGTACTGACCCTGTGACATGGGTCCATCTTTATTGTTGAGCCCTGATGAATAATATTCCTGAAGTAATCATTTTGGAGATTCTTTTTTTTTTCAAGCCTGTAGCTCGCACTAATTAACAGCAAAGGCTTCACTGCTCTGCTTTGGTTCAGATGTTATGTCTGCTCCGTTTCTTTCTCGCTCTAAACTTGATAAGTAAACTTAAGAGGCTCTGCATTGTGTAGAGCTGAGTACACATCAGAACAGAGTGCAAACACAATGATGATGATAACGATGATGGTGGTGTGACCTTTGAACCGTCACCATATGGGTGGCTCTGTGTCTCTTGCAGTCAGGGAGCTCTGTGGACGAGGTGCTGTTGGACTGTCTCGCAGCACTGCTGGCCTGTTTGAAGCATATACACTTCTACTTCCAGGTCATCCCTCCCTCTCCCCCCTGACCTTTAATTTCACACTACACCATGTCCCCTGCTCGTGTGTCTCACTGCACCTCCTCCAGCTCCCTTTTGGTGCTTTTCCACTACATGGTACGGTACGGTTCAGTGCAGTTCACTTTTGGGGGTTTTTCCACTGGGTACAGTACCTGGTACCTGGTACTTTTTTGAGTACCTCCTCGGTTGAGGTTCCAAGTGAACCGTGACGTGACGTGTAAACTGCTGATCACTGATTGGCCGAATCGAGAATCGTCACTGAACTTGCGACACGAGACACAACAGAACCTATAGATTTAAATCAGCACAGCCAGCGAAGGATCGAACGCAACTGTTTTGAACGGGCGCACCTTTTTTTTTTTAACAACCAAAAAAGGGCTGTTTCGTTGTCTGTTGAGGAAGTACAAACGTCCCTCTCGTTGGTAGCCGAGGAGCGGATCCAGCGAAAGCTTGATGGGGCGACGCGGATTGAAAAAGTTTTTCAGGAGTCACGTCAGTCGAGGCGGCGCAACTATAATGACACGTGAATAATCCCGCCCACTCTAAGGCGGTACTAAACTGCAGTGGAAACGCAATCCGAGCCGTGCCGTGCCGTACTGAGCCATGCCGAGCCGAGTTGTACCACGCAGTGGAAAAGCACCATTTGAGAAGCCCATCAAAGGCAGCACTGTAGCTATTCTAAACCTTCACGTATCAGTAGAAAGCTAAGCTTTTTTGTGCACTGATCTGAGACAGATCATCATAATTTATGCGCAAGGTTGATCGTGCTGCTTTTTTTTCCCCCAAGACATGCATCAATTAAAGGTTCACCCAAAAATGAAAATTTTGTCATTAATTAATTAATTACCAATATTAAAATTATGGATGAACCGCTGATGTCACATGGACTATGTTAACTATGTCCTTACTACCTTTCTGGGTAGTCTTTGAACGTGGTAGTTCCCTTGCTGTCTATACAGGGTCAGAAAGCTCTCAGATTTCATAAAAAATATATTCACTTGTGTTCCGAAGATGAACGAAGGTCTTATGGATAGTGTTGTCAAAAATACTGACTTTGGTACCAGTCAGTACTGAAATTATAAAAAGTTAATTTCCTACTAACATTTGAACGTTCTTCACTGAGTGCTCACACAGAAGCACACGGAGTGTTTGTAAGTTTGTATGTGCAGATATAGTAGGGATCCGCTGACAGACATGGCTTTCAAACACTCCCGTGTGCTTCTGTGTGAGCTATTGGTGAAGAGCGTGAAGAGATGATCATTGTAGCCAATCACAGTCATATATGTTGACCGTTTGAACACAGTGGCAAATCAGCAGTGTTTAAGAATCGACTCAACAGCTCTCAAATGTAAATGAAAAAAATTTCAGTACTGACTAGTACCGAACTCGGTACTTTTGACAACACTACTTACGGGTTGACGACACGAGGGTGAGTAATTAATGACAGAATTTGTATTTTTGGGTGAACTATGTCTTTAATTCCAAAATCTTATGCATGAACCTGGACAATAAGCTTTTTTTTTTATACATCCTTTGAAATCTCTTAGCAGCCATTACAGAATTTTTTGCGTCATTTTATATTTACATTCTAGTCACTTGAGGAGAACATTTATTTTGAGTAGTTTCTGGACTTTCAGGTTTTTTTTTTTTATAGAGTAGCTAGCTGTAAATTCCTTTACTCCAGTTTGAGACACATTGTAATGCAGTTATCTGTCTTTATTTCCATTGGCTAGGATTTTAGCATTTATTTAATTAGTTGGTTAGTTGGATACTGAACAATTGATTTTGGAATTCAGACATTCTTCAGAGATTGACAAATATGCAGCAGTGGATATAATCTAAATAGTTTTAGTTCACATTATTTAATTTTTAAAATAATTTTATAGGTTCATGTCATTTAGTTACATTGATCTTCTTGTGATCAAGTAAATTCTGTACAGGCTTTCCCGGCAAAAATGACATTTAAAAAGAAAGAAGAAATAAATTGTCTGAAGTTGCTAACAGAAGCTTACGTTTTCAGTGTGTGGATTTACAAATGCATTAAAAAGTGCATGTCTGGTTCATGAAATCTAAACACTCACACCCTTTTACACTGGTTTGGTGTGTGTATATGTGTGTTTTACAATTGAATGGCGAACTCTCTCTGTCTTTCTATAGTCTGTCTGTTACCAAATCGCTTGCAGTGATCTTTCTTGATTGTATAATTCGATGTGTCAGTTGTGCTTATGTGGCATTCAACATTGAACAGAAATGTTCATAAGTAATAAGTATATGTTATCAACAGATCTGTCAGTTTAATATCTAAAAAAAAAATACCATGACTCCTTTACCATATCCTTATGGTATGCCAGACCATTCCTTATTGGTGGAATGGTCTGGCATTACATTGGTCTGCTGAAACAGGCTGTTGTTTCCTCTCTTGTGACTTCTGTGGTTCATGTGACATTACCCAGCAGGCATTGCAGCCTGCCATTATGAAAGCAATCGCTATGCAGTTTGCACCATGTACCATGCAAGTGTACGATTTATGCATACAGTATTGAAATATAAATGCGTTGAGTTTGTTGTCAGTCAATGGTTACATTAGTGAGTCATTTGCCAGCCATTCATGAACATAATAAATGGTTACATGAATCATACAGTCAAGCACACAAAGTGTACGTATATGCTGTGTACTCTTTTTACATTTTCTATTTTAAAAAATGAAAATGTTTAGAAATAGCAGAAAGTATCAAATAGTCTGGAAAAGATGATCAAATTTTTTCAATATTTTAAGATGATCACCTATAAGCTATAGTCAGAAATATGATTCCTGTATAGAAATAAATAGAGACTATGTGACTGAGACTTCGAACAGATTGTCCAGACAGCACTTGCAGGGCACAACTGTGAACATATCTGAGTGTGAGAGAGAGCGCAAACAGAGCCCCGTTGCCCCCATACTCCCCCTTACCTGTCCTCCAATATCCCATCATGCATTGCAGGAGCTGAGAGAAATCCACAACAAACAACAGAGGCAGAAACAAAAGGAGCTGGAGGCTGACATCACCCAGCCGTCGCACGACAGGAAGTCCACAGAATTACAAGAGTCTAGGTATTTTATGTCCTTCCATGGCTATTCTTTGCAGAAAAATTTGTTATTTGACTCTTTTAACAGGCATTCATTTTGTCCCTCACTTTTCCCTCAGGTTGTCAGGGACAGAAGATGGCATGTCTCCTGCATGGAGAGATGATGGGCTGGGTAAAGCTCCCACTCCTCCTGCGACTCAGGCTTGGATAAGCCAAGTCAGTGAAGAGGAGAACCACAGCAGAGCCGAAGTACAGGATAACCTCTCCAAACTCTTCACACAGCATCCGCAATCTGGAAAACTACAGACTCGGTCCCCCTGGTCTATGGCAGGTGAGACAAGGATGCTTGTTGAACCAGACAGACATGAATTGGACTGTTTGGCAGCTGCTTTTTGGTTGTTTATTTATATTGAGACATGTTAAAGGGTCATATGATGCTGCTAAAAAGAACATTATTTTGTGTATTTGGTGTAATGAAATGTGTTTATGCGGTTTAAGGTTCAAAAAACATTATTTTCCACATACTGTACATTATTGTTTCTCCTCTATGCC